CACAAGACTGATGTAATGATGGTTCATAGGATGAACTGGTGTGGGGAGAAACTAGAGTGCAGCCCCAAAAATGGTAGTACATGCTTTCTGACAGAAGGTTTTGTGAGCCTAGACTAAAATATTGTACCATGGGTATGAGTTTGAGAATTATTAAATACCCACAAGAGCTGTCAACTGATTATAAGTGGCAGGGGCAAGATTTTGAGGTGTCAGATATCAAGGATGTCTCTCTGAGGTCTTAAGCCTGGACAGTTCAGAGACCATGGTTCAGGTTAACATGAACAGAGAATGTTGGGATGAGAAGGTAATCTTGGAGGGGGTAGTATATTTGGTTCCAGACATGCTGTGTTTCCATCTCTGGTAGAACAGTGTGATGGAGATAGTAGATGAGCTTTTGGAAAAAGAAAAGTTTAGACGAGGTATTGGACTAGAAAAAAGGCTGGGCATCATCCACACAGAGACAATAGTTGAAATGATTCAAATACAGACATTGATCTAGTGAATAGAAATAGCATTGTTTTAGGGGCACCTGGGTGGCTCAGTGGGTTAAATCTCTACCTTCGGCTCAGTTCATGATCCTTGGGTCCTGGGATCTAGTCCTGCATCCAGCTCCCTGCTCAGTGAGGGGCCTGCTGTCCCTCTCCCTCTCTCTTTGCCCCCACCCCCGCTCCTGCACACATGCGCATGCTTGCCCTCTCAAGTAAATAAAATCTTTAAAAAAGAGAGAAATAGGGGCGCCCGGGTGGCTCAGTTGGTTAAGCGACTGCCTTCGGCTCAGGTCATGATCCTGGAGTCCCGGGATCGAGTCCCGCATCAGGCTCCCTGCTCGGCGAGGAGCCTGCTTCTCCCTCTAACCCTCCCCCCTCTCATGTACTCTCTCTCTCTCATTCTCGCTCTCTCAAATAAATAAATAAATCTTTAAAAAAAAAAGAGAAATAGCATTGTTTTAGTATTCATATCTTTCTTTTCAAGTGAAATGCAGGGAGGTAAATATAATCTTAAAGATTTATAAGTTTATGAGTTAACCTAGAAATTTTTTGATAGAAGAACAGATTTCACAATTTTTTTGGACACTGAAAAGTACAGTAACATGTATCCATCTTCTTTCTAATCCTGTAAACCTTATAACCTGCTGACTCACTAGCATTTCTGAAAGTAAGCATCCATGACTTCTTCAGTCTTTGATTTCTGAGGCCATTTTTCCTTTCATTTGAAACTCACTGGACGAGTCACAAGGATTAAGATAGTTGCCAGATTATCTTAATTTTTAATACGTATCAAGCAAGACACTTCTGTTTTTCCATCTTAGTTCACTTGGTCTGTTTGCCCAAAAAAAGAGGTAATGGATTCTTGTTTGTGTATTGAATTACATGTTTAACAATTACTATTAATAATTTACTAGTGCTCGCTTCAGTGGCACAAATTACTAAAGTAATTTACTAGCAAAGTCCCAGGTAAGAATATTGGTTATTTAGGATTAATGGAATGTTTGATAAGTTTCTTAATATTAATATTGAATATGTTGTAACCTTAAGGGCTGAAATACATAACAGTTCCTAAGACTTAGGCTGGAAAGGGTTTGAAAACAGTTTTACCGAACACTCTTATTATTCTTAACATTTTTGACAGAGTGATTTTTTGTTACTAATCACAAAAAAGGATGTTAGGTTTACCTCTTTCATCAACATTTATTTCTTTCATTTACAATAAAATGAAAGTATGATTAGAATTTTTCATTCTACAGGGACAGGTTTTGAGAGCATGGCTTGATATCACAAGAGGAAAAGAACCTTATACTAAAAAAGCACTGAGATATTTTGAGGAGGGATTACAAGACGGAAATGATATTTTTGCTCTGCTGGGTAAGGTGAGTTGGAGTGAGGGTAAATAAATCATGTTTTAAAATTTATTCATAATATATTTGAAACCCAACAAAATGAGTAGCCCAAAAAAGATAATAATTGTCATGTTACTTTTATCAGCTCTCAGTTATGGGAGGGACTTGGATTTTATTTGAACAGGACAGTGAACAACAAACTAGAGAGATGTATTCCTTACCAAATTCCTAAATCTTGATTGGTTTTAATTGTTGTTGGTGGTGGTTCCTATATTATTTACTCACTAAACATTTATAGTCTAATATGTGCAAGGCATCACTCCAGATACTAGGGATACCCTGAAGCAAAATAAAACTTCTTGCTTTTTGGAGCTTATACTCTGTTGTTGGAGACAGACAATAAAATAAATAAGTAAACCTCAAAAACTAATGATGTAATGTATGGTGATTAACATAACATAATAAAAAAATAAATAAGTAAATTATGTAGCGTATTAGAAGGTGATAAGTGCAATGGAAAAATAAATAAATCAGGTAAAGGGGGAGATGTAGAGCTGGGTTATGAATTTGTAGGTTTAAATGATGTGGTCAGAGAAAGTGACATTTGAGCAAAGACATATATAGGAGGTGAGAGTTGAAGCTCTGTGGGCTCCTGCAGGAAAGCATTACAAATAGAGGAGATAACAAGTTGAAATACCTTAAGGCATGTTCAGGGTATTGCTGGGAGACCAGGACACGAAAGTGGAATGAGCAAAGCGGAGGTTAGAAGTGGAGGCTAGAGGAAAAGAAGGTGGGTGTGGGGCAGGTGGGCATGGGGGGAATGAGGAGAGGCAGGGCTGATTGTATAAAGCCTTTGGCTTTTAATTTGAACCAGATAGGCAGCCGATGAAAAGAGAAACAGTATGACCTGACTTATATTGTGAGGGATGAGCAATTAATTGACAGAGTCATTAGAAATCATTGGCAGGTAGAAATGTATAATTCGGGCCTTTCTTCAGTTCCATTGATGCCTTTAGAACGCCTTAAAATTTTTCATATTTTTGATTTGGCAACAAGAAATTAAATGTATATGTTAGGAAAACACCTTGTTAGATAAGCAGTAATTGGGGGATAAAAAGGAAGAGGAGAGGATTATTAGTGTCTTGGCTGTTGTTAATATCCCCTCATCGCTCTTGTCAATTTCTGTGGCTAGTGAGCTTGTTCAGATATGCACCTATGGTATACACTAGCATTCCAGCTGATTGGAGTCAAGTTTTACCTAAAGGCACTGCTAGAAGAATTGAGTATTTATCAAGTTTTTAAAAAGTTTTTTTTGATCATTTCTCCTCCTCCCTATTTCTTAAAGAAAAGCTAGTTGATAATCTCTTAAGGTGGGGCAATTTCAGGTGTTAATATATTTTAGGAGGGACTTACCTTTTTCATCCTATACTTAAGATTGGTTTAAATTCTTTTTCTGCTACAACTCATCCCAATTATGTATTTATTTTTCAATTAATTCAATAGAGGATGTTTGCGTTAGCCTAATTCCAACTTGGAATGATGTGAACCAAATACACAGCAAATTTAGTTTCATTTAATATGTATGTGGCATCATATGGGAGATGATAGTCTAAGGAAGTAATAGATGTGGTCTTTTAACATGATTTTCTTTTTTTACATTACCAGCTATTTAGACAGATTCTAAAGATATATGTAATTTGAAAAAATGCTCTGCATTAATCTTTCTCAGCTATTTAGAAATTTTAATAGTAATTTATTTTGACATAATGGCATCTTTGGATGGTTCTCAGACTTTAATTATATGGGAATATAATTATATGGGAATATACATGAAAATATAATCTCAAACCAATTTTAGGATTATATTGCATCTTTTGAGACTGGATGATCATTTTGAACTGAGATATTCCAGGACTAAATTTATTCCTAAAGGAGATCTCGAAGCAAATTTTTAAAAATCTGATATGTGATAAATATGCCTCATATCTTTTCTTAAAGCAGTAACTCTATAGCTTTATTTTTTCTGACTATGAAAGTAATATATAGACATTGTAAAAAATATTCACAATTCAGTAATATCTGAATTAAGAATAAATATCACCATTAAAGATAACTAGTTAAACTATTGCATTATAAATGACATCTCTTCATGTCAGTAACTATAGATCTACAAATCCATATAACCACCTAAAATTTGATTAAATAGATAGGCTATAATTTAATCCTGTATGGACATTTTGGATTATTTTTATTTTTTCCATTATATCTATTAGAAATCTGCCATAACTATAATCTGTATTTTTTTGTGGTCTTACTCAGTTATTTCCTTAAAATACTTTCTAGAATTGAAAATGTTGAGCTAGAAGGAGTTGCTTGAACTTTATTTTGCTTATTTTTTAAAGTCTTATCTTCTTTAGCCTGAAAGTAATTTTTTTAAAAAAACATACAAAATCTCTTCATTTTAGATGCTTTTTGCAAATAACCTAGAAATATTTTATTCTAAAAGATAATTTTTCTGTTCTAGTTATTTAAATTAGGGTTTTATAACAAAGTCAATTACATAAAATATTTTTATTGTTCTTTAATGTTTTAAAATTTTTGTTTTGTTAAAAACTTATTTTGTACTTCTCATTATAAAAATAACTGTTCCCTACAGAAAAGTCAGAAAACAAAAATATAGAATGTGTTAAACACTAGTATTGTACCTCTTCCAGGATGACTGTTGTGAGAACCTTGGTATATATGATCACAGTTTTGATACCACATTTTTTCTCCCATTAGGCGCAATGCCTTGAGATGCGCCAGAATTACTCCGGTGCTCTGGAGACTGTGAACCAGATAATAGTGAACTTTCCAAGTTTCCTTCCTGCTTTTGTAAAGAAAATGAAACTACAACTTGCCTTACAGGATTGGGACCAGACTGTTGAAACAGCACAGAGGTTAAGTAAAAAAATATAATACAAGTACCTTTGGATCTGGTTATAATTTCCAGGAAAAAAAAACAACTATATATTTTTATCATATTTTAAGTTTGATTTTTTCATATTTTAAGTTTGATGTTTTCAAACAATATAGAATTGAAGAACTTAACATTGCATGATTTTTAAAAACTCAATTTATTGATTTATGTAAATATCTGAATAGCTGTTCTAAGATACTCTTTTATGGAAAATGACCCTGCCCTTGTGAAGCTTATATTCAAATGAGAGGAACCACATAAAAAGCAGAACAAATAAGAGGTTATGTAGTATTTTAGAGAGTTTGCTATGGAGAACAAGATAAAGCTGGGAAGGAAATAGGGAGTGGGGGGAAGGGTTCCATTCGATGGGATGACCAGAGAAGGCCTCAGTGAGCAGATGGCGTTTGAACTAAGGGAGCAAGCCATGCAGATATCTGGAAGAAGACTTTGCAGAAAGAAGGAAAAACAAGTGCGAAAACCTTGAGGCAAAAGTTTGTGTCATATTTTTAAGGAGTAGGAGGGGATAAAATGACTGGACAGTGAAGTCAGAGCAGAAGGGTGGAGCTGGGGAGCCAGGATGTGAAAGGTCTTAGGGAGCCAGGATATGAAAGGTCTTGGTCATCTTAAGGATTTGGATTTTTCTTCTGAAGTGTGAAGTCATTGGAGGGTTCCTTTTCTCTCTCCGCCCCTTCTCATTTTCCTTTTTTCTCCCTCCACCTGCCTCCCACTTCTCCCACCCCTTTTTTTTTTTTTTTGATGTGTAAGTTAAAGAAACCAGTCTTTTATCCTGTAGGTTTTCCATACGAATTTTATTGACTACATGCCATGTACCACATAACTTGTTGCTATCCTATGAATTTCCTATAAATTGGTACTGGATATAGAGGCTTGGTTAGATTCATGTTCAATTTTTTTTTTTTTGCAATTATTTAGTAAGTGGTGATGTGTTCTTTCATCAAAGGGACATAATCTGCGCTTGTCTTTTTGTGCTATTAGCAGAATTTTCTTTTTTTAAGAGAGGTAGTGGGGGGAGGGGCAGAGGGAGAGAGAGAATCCTAAGCAGCCTCCACACCTAGTGCGGGGCTCGATCTCCCAGCCCCAAGACCATGACCTGAGCCAAAATCCAGAGTTGGACACTTAACTGACTGAGCCACCCAGGTGGCTCAGAAATTTATGCTCAGTATGTGGGTGCTGTAGGATTAATATGGTTATATCATTCTTTCTTCATTTCTTAGCTGGAATACTATTTAAAAAAAAAAAAAAAACAACCTTCTAATCTACTGGTGGTTATCTGGTGCTATAGTTCATATAAGAAAAATTGGATAAGTGCTTGAGTCTTTTACTTCTGGGTTTCAAAAACCAAAAAAAGTTTAAAAATTCCCTGGCATCGTGCAGTAGTGACTGGATCAGTAGTTTGGATTTGTTTATATGACATAGATTAAACTTACATGTTTCTAACCATTTTGGTTATTATAATTGCTCAAATTGTCTCATCTTTGGCTCTTAGTAGCCTCTTCAAGTTAGTTTTTAAGTTCTTTTCATATGATCCTAGTAGTCTTTGATAGTTTCCTTGCTATTTGGTATACAGCAAGATATACTAGGGTCATTTTGTATATTTACTGCCCCAAACAGGTATTAGCCATTGTGGAATGCAGTCTAATCCCTTTTAGTGGGAAATGATATTTGGAGGCCACAATTTGGACATTAGTAACTCTTTGATATTTATATTTTTCTAGATTTCTAGGCACTGTGTAAGTGAGGGGGTGAGGGGATAATCAATATATAAAAAATATATTTTGGGGGATGTGTGTAAAAAATAGACTTGTTATATAGTTTATAAACTTGATTTTTCTTTTTTTTTAAAGATTTATTTTAGAGAGAGAGAGTACATGTTGTGGTGGGGAGGGGCAGAGGGAGAGGGAGAGAGAAACTCAAGCAGACTCAGTGCTGAGCATGGAGCCCAATGCGGGGCTTGATCTCACAACCCTGAGATCACTACCTGAGCTGAAACCAAGAGTTAGATACTTAACCAACTGCACCACCCAGGTGCCCCTAAACTTGATTTTTCTTTAACTTAGTATTTTGTGGATGTTCTTTTATATCCATTTACACAGATATACATAATTCTTTTCTAACAATGAAAACATCTATAAAATAAACATACAAATAGTTTATCTTTTTTCATTGGTAGACATTTAGGCCTATACACACACACACCCCTTTATACACAAATAGGTGTATTTCTGGAGGATGTTTCCCAAATAAGGGATTACTGAGTTAAAGGGAATCATATTTGTTAGGATAGGCTAAGCTCCTATAAAAAAAAAAAAGATCTAAACACATAATAGAATTTTTCTTGTGATATGTAACTATTTTGAGTGGGTGTAAATCTTGATCAAGCAGCCTTCCTCCACACCATCATTAAGGGACCTAGTCCCTTTCCGTCTTGCAACCCTGCCTTGTCCTAAAACCTCACGACATTGCTATCCAGCTGGTACAAAGGGAAAGAGGGTGGAGTCATTCCACTTTTCTTAAAAGCCCAGGCCCAGAAGTGGCATACAGTGCTTTGTCTCCCATGGGCCACATCTAATTGCAAAGGTGGCAGGAAAATGTAGGCTAGCTGTGTGCCCAAGCAAATAAAGAGAGAATGGATTTGAGGGGACAGATTGCAGTCTCTGCCTCAGGTATGCATGTTTGAAATTCTGGAAGACACTACCAAATTGTTCTCCTAAGAATTTATACTAATTTATACTCCCATCAGTAGTCTACTGGATGCCCCCTCCCCCTTCTTTATTAATTCTGGCTATTATTGGTGTGGTGTTTTTGTTTTTAACAATCTGATAGAATAAAAGTGGTAGAATCTGGTAGAATCAAACCTTATTTTTATTTTCATTTCTTCAGTTATGTTGAGATTGAGCATCTTTTTAATACCAAAAGCTATTCACCGAGCCCCCCCCCATGCTGACTGGTCCTTTTTTTTTTTTTTTTAAACTGGGTCTAGCCTTTCCTATATTTCTAATGGATTTTTATATTTTTTAGGGCAAGTTCTCTATCATGTTTCTTTTTTGATAGTTTTCTTGGCTCTTCTTTTGCAGTTGACTGTCAATTAACTTACCAAGTTAAAAAAAAAAAAAACCTTATAAGATTTTGGTTTGAATTGCATTAAATCTATAGATTATTTGGGGAAAAATATTTTTTAACCAAAGATGAGTATTATCATGGGGCAGCTATCGGGGCATAGCAAACAACTACAGATCTCAGGGCATATGACTATAAGCACTGATTTCTCACTTTGGTAAGGATCATCTGACCTCGACCAGGCTTGCCCAGGGTTCTGCTTCAGATTTTAGATCCAGCTGGCTGGGTGTAGCACCTCGTTGCAGTTTGGTCTCTGGTCAGCTCTGAGGGTGTTCTTCTCTGGGCTCAAGCCAGAGAGCAGCAGCTACCCAGAGGAAGCTCTTCTCATGGTGATAGCAGAGATGCAAGAGGACAGGCAGAAATATTCAGTGCCTCTGAAACTTTGGGGTGGCACACTGCCATTCTTACTCACGTTCCATTGACCAATATAAGGAAAATGTCCAGGTCCATAGCCAAGAAGCAGTAAAGTACATGTCAGCATTTATGGGAGGAACTGCTCACTTTCATGGTGGAAAGCATGTATTAATGGAAGGTGGGAAGACTGAAGCTAATAATTCAATGTACCACACCATTCATGATAAGAAGAAACCTAGTGTGTTAGTTACCCCATTTGTTCAGTTTTTCAAATGTCCTTGAGTAAAGTTTAGGAATTTATATAGCTTTTGCATATTTTTTACTAAGTTTATGTCTTTTTTGGGAAAGGGGAGTTGTTACTAATTTTTTTCTGATTTGTTTTTATCACATAGGAATCTGTTTTAATGTTGTGAATTACATTAACAGATTTTTAAATGTTTAACCCATCTTTTCATTCCTGAAATTCTTGTAATACATCTTCCTGGTCAGGGTGAATTATTCTTTTTTTTTTTTTCTGAGAGGGAGAGGGTGATGGGGGGAGGGAGAGAGAGAGAATCTTAAGCAGGCTCCACACACCACACAGAGCCTGATGTAGGGCTCGATCTCATAACCCTGAGATCACGACCTGAGCTGAAATCAAGAATCGGACACTTAACCAACTGAGCTACCCAGGTGCCCCAAATTATTCTTTTACTATACTGTTGGATATGGTTAACTAATACTTTATTTAGGATTGCCAACGGATTTTTTTTTTTTTTAAGATTTTATTTATTTATTTGACAGAGAATGACACAGTGAGAGAAGGAACACAAGTAGGGGGAGTGGGAGAGGGAGAAGCAGGCTTCCCGCGGAGCAAGGAGCCTATCACGGGGCTCGATCCCAGGACCCTGGGATCACGACCCAAGCCGAAGGCAGACGCTTAACGACTGAGCCACCCAGGCACCCTGGATTGCCAAAGGATTTAAAGGGACTGATACAATCTATTCATATCTTTTTAAAACATATTAAAGATTCAGAAATTTTTTTTTTAGCTTAAATAATGAGGTTGATAATTTTCATAAAGGATATGCTCTCTTACTAATTAAAATTCTTATTTAGACAGTGGAATAGTCAGACCAGCAAACTGCCTTTTCAAACCCTCAAATAAAAGAAACCACATTAAGGGGCGCCTGGGTGGCCAGTCGGTTAAGCATCTGCCTTCGGCTCAGGTCATGATCCCGGGGTATTGGGATCGAGCCCTGCATTGGGCTCCCTGCTCAGTGGGAAGCCTGCTTCTCCCTCTCCCACTCCCCCTGCTGTGTTTCCTCTCTCGCTGTATCTCTCTCTGTCAAATAAATAAATAAAATCTTTAAAAAAAAAAATGCATTAAGTTTATTTCAATATTAAGTGAAATGTTTTTCTGCAGGCTAATGCTTCAGGATAATCAAAATGTGGAAGCGCTAAGGATCCTGGCTCTTTACTATTTGTGTAGGGAGGGGGACATAGAGAAGGTAAGTTGTATTATTTAAGTTTCCTGTATTAAAAAATATGTAGTTACACACACATATGCCTGTACATTAGAGCCTTGAAGAGCTCTTTCAGAATGTATGTCATGGTAGTTTTTACTTGATTCCTAGAAATGCACTTTAATATAGTGATGAGCTTCTTAAATCAACTAATAAAGCAAAAATATTGAATACTTAAAATACCTTGAAAATTCCTTAAATCATTTATTACAGTATATGTGGTTTTCTACATAAAACTCCTATACACGATTAATGTAACTGGTGATGCTAGGTATGGAAGAATATATATGCAAAATATAATTCTTAGTTTTTTTACAGTTTAACTGAGTTTGCATAATTTAAATGGGCTTAGGATGACATCCCACTGGACCGGACCTTATAATAAGATTCATGTTTCTCTAGTAATGAGCACATTGATTATGTACTGGGTTATGGAATGCCACAATCCAGTCTGAAGCAAATAGTATTATAACAAGTAGTAGATTTGAATCATGTTTCATTCTGGTTAAATTGTTAAATGTGATGGCAACTAATAAGTTCTTCAGTAAATACCAGAGGAATTTTACTAGGGGCATCTCTTCAGTAAATTTTCCAGGCATTGAAATTACTTACAGTGTCTTAATGATTTTTCTATTCTAGAAAATATTTTAAAATAAACCAGACTATATAGGTAATCCAGAATCTGATCTCATATAATATTAATGTTTATAATTATATGTTATTTTTCATATCTCATGTGTGTCATGAACTAATTATTGGAGAGGGAGCTTCGCGTATATAGTTAATTGAATATTATGGGTATCTTTATCTACCCAGAGGTTTCCATTTAATAACAAATATTTTAAAAACACATTTTATTTATTTTATTTTATTTTAAGTTTTATTTATGTAAGTAATTTCCATACCCAGTGTGGGACTTGAACTTATGACCCCGAGATCAAGAGTCGCATGCTCTCTGACTGAGTCAGCCAGGGACCCCTAAAAAACACATCTTAAAACTCAAGTCTTTATTCATAATTCTTGAGCTTTTTAAAAGAACTTTTAATACATTTCGCAACATAGAAGATTTCACTGGACAAGAGGGAATTTGTAAAAGCAAAGATTTTTTTAATATTAATACTTATTAGTGTATATGTCATGTATTCTTTTTTTCTTATTTTAAAATTATACTGATACTTTTGTTTTAGGCTGCCACCAAGCTGGAAAACTTAGAGAATGCATTGGATGCCATGGAACCACAGAATGCTCAACTTTTTTATAAGATCACAGTAGCCTTCAGCAGAACTGTAAGAGAGCCTGCTATGTAACAGAGCTCTGTTATCTGTGGCTGGGAATATAAAACAAGTCACAAAGGTTGAGGCATCAAAGAGCATATGGCCTAGAATGAAAATACCATACGTATGTAAATATGTGATACATTCGTAGGAAAGTCAGTTCAGAGGAGATATGATTTCCAACCATAAGAAGGCATAATGGAGCCTTCATGGAAGTAGCCCTTGTGGAGCCTTTAAGGATAGGGAAGTGGGAAATTCCAAAGGAAGTGGGAAGTCATTTATTAATCAGAGCATAGGATTTATAACTAGGGTTATTCTTTATTTTGTTTTTTGAAACTACAGTTGACCCTTGAACAACACAAGTTTGAACTGTGTGAGTCCACTTAATGCAGATGTGTTCAATCAATACAGTATTGTAAATGTATTTTCCTTACGATTTTCTTTTCTATAATTTTATTGTAAGAATATATAACATACAAAATATGTGTTAATAGACTGTTTCGGTTATCAGGAAGGTGTGGTCAATGAAGGCTATTAATAGTTAAGTGTTTGGGAAGTCAAAAATTATATGCAGATTTTCTTTTTTCTTTCTTTTTTTTAAAAAATTTTATTTATTTATTTGACAGAGACAGCAAGAGAGGGAACACAAGCAGGGGGAGTGGGAGAGGGAGAAGCAGGCTTCCTGCTGAACAGGGATCCCAATGCGGGGCTCAGTTCCAGGACCCTGGGATCATGACCTGAGCCAAAGGCAGACGCTTAACGACTGAGCCACCCAGGCGCCCCTATATGCAGATTTTCAACTGTGTGGTGCGGGAGAAGGGGGTAGGGCGTGGGTGACAGCACCCTCACCCCTGCATTATTCAAGGGTCAACTGTATTTGAAAAACAGTTTTAACATGGGTGGGAGACAATTTTGGTGGGGAAAATGGCTGGGATTTTTTTTTTTTTTTTTTTAATAATAGTAGTAAAGAAATGTTTCTATTACAACATCCAATAAGAAGATCATTAGGAATGGAACAGAAAAATACTGCAGAATCTCAATACAAGGAATGAGAGGATTGAAAAGTTCTTAATTAGGGCGCCTGGGTGGCTCAGTTGGTTAAGC